ACCGCAAACGGCCACAGAAAGTGGGGAGCAGCCGCATGGGTCAGGGAGGTACGAGCGACCTCCATGACCAAGCCAATGCGGCGCTCAGCGACCCCATTCTGCTGTGGAGAGGCCGGAAGCGTGAACGACTGCTCAATGCCGTGCTCAGCACAATAGGCTGCCAAGAGGTCGGAGGCGAACTCACCACCCCTGTCAGAGTGCAAGCGCAGGACAGGAAAGTCCGAGTGAAAGCGCTTGGCTAGCTGGAGACGGGCTCGGCTGATCCAGGGGATCAAAACACCAGGGACGTCACCCTTGGCGCGCAAGGGGAAGACCGTGGTGTAGCGCGAGTAGTCGTCAACAACTATCAGGAAGTACCTCTCCTGACCCTGACCACGAACGCGGGCTGGGCCCCACACGTCCATGTGGAGCGTCTGCAAGGGAGCAGTCGTCGGGGGAAAGGAGGAGGAGTGAGGAGCGGCGCGCTGCCGCCCCTCGACACAGGGAATGCAGTCAGGAGCAGGGGAGTCGGGAAGGGGAGGGAGCACCCTGGGAAGACCAGCAACAAGGTCCCGTTTGTGCATGGCCCGAAGGCGCTGCACAGACGGGTGACCAAGGCGGTGGTGCCAGAGAACAGTCTCATGCGCCAGAGAGCGACATGAGCAGGGGGCGGACAGCTGACCTGACGCAGACGCAGACGCAGCTACCTGAGGGGGCTCAGTGGTCAGTGTGTACAGGTCCGACCCCGGCTCCCGAGTGAAAGTAGCCAGGTGGCGGCCCGTCCGAGCACACGTGCAATGTGTCACACGCTCGTAGGCAGGGGTGAACTGGTGAACACCCCCGTCCTGCAGAGCACAGCCCGCCACCAAGTTCGTAGAGAACGAGGGGAGGTAGAGACCTGAGAGCGTGCCGGACGGAACCGCTGGACACGGAAGTGTAGTGGAGGAGGTCGCAATGACCGGACCCCCAGAGGGGTCAGCAAGAGAGACAGCAACCGGCCGAGCTAGTGGCTCAAGGACAGTGCGGTCACGAAAGAAAGAGCGAGAAGCACCTGAGTCCAGTGTGAAGGTGTGCAGTGCTGCAGTCGACTCAGTACCAGGGGGCACAGACGCACTAGCACCTAGGGCAGCTGCTGCAGCAGGACCTGTGGGAGCAGACACACTAGCACCTAGAGCAGCAGCTGGGCTGGCCTGAATGCCCAGGTCGGGCGGAACACGCAAGTACTGGGCACCCTCTCCACTAATAGACATCGCATACATAGCAGTGAGAATAGCATCAAAGTCTAAAGCCCAGATATCAACACCCTTCTTTTCCAGCTCAGGCCAGCGGGGGAGCTCAGTAGACCCAGGAAACTGGGTGCGCCACGCGTCAGTCAGGCGCTGGAAGCAGCGCTGCGTGGGGTGCGACCTCCCACATGGCTGGCCAGTGCGGTCACCAGTGCGGATGACGTACGTGCAAGTGTACCCACGCTGTGCGTACCACTCACGGGCGGCCTGGAGGGTCGGGGCGTGCTGCTGACTCTGGCCACCTCCAGCGTCTCCACGGCCACCACCGCCACCGCCACCGCCACCGCCACCGCCTCGGCCACCTCCACCCCTGCCACGGCCACGACCGCCACCGCCGCCGCTGCCACCTCCGCCTCTGCCACCACCCCCGCCGCCGCTGTCACCACCCCCACTGCCGCCACTAGCCTCTCCAGACCCACCGCCACCTCCACTGTCTCCACCCCCGCCTCCCCCGCCTCCACCCCCACCCTTGCCCCCCCTGCTCTTGCGGCGCCCGCTCGAAGCAGACGCAGCCCCGACCTTCTCAGCACCAAGGAGGTCGACAGCAGCAGCAGTGGCGACAGAGGGGAGAAGGGGGGAAGGGGAACACCCCTCGAAGAAGGGGGTGCGGGGCTCGCCACGAGAGGCACCTACGGCGACGATGCTCGCCTCAGCTGCAAGTAGGTCCTTCTCGAGGAGGGCAATGGTGAGCTCAGTAGGGGAGCGAGCTAGAAAGGAGTCCCTGACTGTGCGCAGAGAGTCAGGGAGGCGGGTGACAATGTGGTAGAGGGTGAGCCAGAGCGGGGGGGGGTTGCTAGCAAGGAACTCGGCAGGCATAGCAGCGCGAAAACGGGCCTCACTAGTCTTGAGGTGGGTGATGAGATCAGCGACAGTGTGAAAGGAGGCCAGGTCGGGGAACAGGTAGGGCAGGGAGAGGCGGCCTAGGGTGGCAGACGCAGGCGAGGAGTAGCGAGCAACTACGGCTGTGTACAGTTCCTTAGCAGTCTTGCACTGGCCGAAGTGCTCGCGCTCATCTAGCGGCAGGGAGTTGCGGATAGCAAAGCGAGCGTGTGCGTCGCGGGTCTGCCACTGGGAGCGCAGTGTGCTAGCAGCAGAGGAGTCAGGGGCAGTAGCATGGCCTAGGGCGTGGTCGTACAGTGAAATGTCTTCCTTGGCAGTGAGCTGTAGGAAAAGGTGCAGATCATCGAGCCAGGTGTCAAATTTCACTGGGCGGCCCTCAGCGTCGAAGGCTAGAACAGGAGCAGTAGCCATGGTAGTAGGAGGAGGAAGAGTAAGTAATAAACGTGGCAGTGACAGTAGCAGTAGGGCAAGGCAGGGCCGGGGCAGTCGAGACAGCGGCGGCAGATGCTGCAGGTTCGGCTACGGCTGCTGCTGCTGGGTCGGCGGCGGCTGCTGCTGCAGAGGCAGCGGCGGCTGATTCTGCTGTAGCTGCGGCGGCCGCTGCTGTAGATTGCGGCGGCTGCTGCTGCCGTAGATGCGGCGGCGGCCGCTGCTGTAGATAATGCGGCAGCTGCTGCTGCTGTAGATGCAGCGGCGGCTGCTGCAGAAGGCGCGGCGGCTGCTGCTGCTGTAGATGCAGCGGCGGCTGCTGCAGAAGATGCGGCGGCTGCTGCTGCTGTGGATGCAGCGGCGGCTGCTGCAGAAGATGCGGCGGCTGCAGCTGCTGTAGATGCAGCGGCGGCCGCGGCAGGAGAGGCGGCGGCGGCTGCTGCAGCAGTTGCGACGGCCGCGACTGCAGTCTCTGCCGCGGCTGTTGCTGCAGGCCCGACCGCGGCGACGAAGGCGCGGGGGGGTCGAGCGCAGCACGGAGCAGTGCGACGAGCCGCGCTCGAAGAAAAAGAGCCGCGCGCGCCGGCGGCTAGCTAGGCGCGCGCGAAAAATGGCCGCGCGCGGGCTGCTGGCTGGTCGCGCGCACGAAATAGGCCGCGCGCGGGCGGCTAGCAGATCGCGCGCGGTAAAAAAAAAAAAGGATAGCGCACTAGGGGCGCAATAGGAGGCGCACTAGGGGCGCAATAGGAGGCGCACTAGGGGCGCTTGATAGGTATGTAGGTAGTTAGGTGGGCCCTTAAAAAAACGGTCCTAGGGAAGGACCTGCTCTGAAACCATGTCAAGATTACGAGACTGGAATGGTTGAACTAACAGAGAAATCAGTACAAATAGCAAACCCTAGAATTGTGTACCCCATACTGGCTAACCCACTGTAGCCTAACAAACCAAACATATATAATGTTTGACATGCGCCTCGGGCATCCCAGTGCGGGGGGGTGTCAGAGGTCCACTGGTGATCCCCGATTGATCCTAGGGGAGGGTTACAGGCACGTCGGCCTGGGGGGTTATGGGCGCACTCACCCGCTACACAAACAAGCCCTTTTATTCCAGTGGTTAGTGGCTGGGATTCTGACAAACGGGTGGGCCCAAACTTAGGTCCTAAAGACCTATTGCTCTAGATACCATCTTAGACTTATAGGCATGAATGGGTTGAACTATCGAGTGAGTTTGGTACAAGATGTAAACCCTAAGGGGTTGTACCCCACATTATCTACCCCACTACAGCCTACCCACAAATATAACATATGCATATGTTTGACATTTCAACCTCTCAAGCACAACTCTGAACGCTTCAAAACCGCCTAAACTTCCGTCATACTGTTGAAATTGGAGGAAACTTTTTTGTTCCCACCAATTTCAACCTGCGGGCTAAGGACACGTCACAATTGCAACACCGGGGTAGATCGGCTCTAAACACCGAAAATGTGTGCATCGACTTGCGAAAAACGTGTTTCAATCTGCAGGAGCAGTGTTGGCTGCTTCCCCGAGCCAAGTGGGACACGACCGGATTTGCTGGGGATCTTCATGCCAGCTGTACACCCAGCTGATAGCGCACGAGCCGTTTCGCTGGCATGTCGTGCAGCTTCGCATGGCTTGTAACGACGCGCACAAGGTTGGATTCCGCGTCGCGCTCACACAGCGCAGATGTCGCCCACCGACAGTCTGTGATGTCGTCTAGTTACCACACCGAAAGTGTCCGACAGTATGCGACGGCGATCGATCGTGGCTGGAACTGGTGGCGCGATTTCGATTCCCACGCTGTCAATCGCACGATCGATGTGGCAGTCTGAGCTATCCGATCGCGACAATCTGCGTGTGCACGATCTTCCCAACAAGCTAAACGAAAACGGGATACATAGCTTTCACGAAATGGCGAAGACATTGTAGATTGTGCACACCGATATTTCACAGGTTCGGTGTTGCAATTGTGACGCGTCCTAAACGACAAGCTACCCGGGGGGGGCGAGTGTTGAAATTGGTGAGGGACAGGTGTATTCGCTGTACTGGCGTGATTCACAGCACGACGCTGTAAATCCAGCACTAATCACGGAAAACCCTGCAAATCTCGCACTCCCAAAATCAGCGGAGGTTCGTGTTTCAAGTCTGACGCATCAGAGTATTGATAACCTGAAAAAAAACATAAGTTTTTCAAAGCTTATGTAACAATCTGTCTGAAACTGAAAGCAGACACTATGGTACAACATACCAGCAAGCAAGCACACTCCAATTCCCAATCCTAGTACTACCACACACACGACATAAATGGCAGCCAATCGGCAGCCAAATTGGTTCATCTCCTCCGAGCAACCACATGCAGTTGCTCGCACCTGTGCTCCACCAGCCCCCGCCGCTACGATGTCCCTCTGGCGCTGCTAGCTTGCGCATCCTTGCCCCCTGCCCATCCGACTAGGGACGGCCTTTCTTCGCTTGCCCACCAGCCCCTTCATGGGAGGGCAACGGGAGGGGGCAAATGGAGGGCAGGCCACAGTGTAAGACGTGAGATGATACAGAAATACGGTTGAGTCCACCAGTGCATAGTCCGCTCCTCTTTGTGTGCCACACTGGCAAATATGCAACAAACCACAAGGCTGATTCTTTCTTGTTGGCAAGCATGCAACAAACGACAAGGCACCTACGACGAGGAGCAAGAGAGGGGTCGAGGCAGCGCTTCTTAGCAGCGTTGAACACGAGGCCCTCGGGGCACTGGCACTGTGGCTGGCCCTCCTTCACAACGCACTGTGCACTTCCACAATCATTCTCACACATGGCTGTTGTGGGCACCACAGAGAGGCAAACAATCCAGACATGCAGAGAAACAGGATAGCTTTTCAGGCATAAGGACGCAAAAAATCACAAAAAAACGGGTGGGTGTGTGTCTAGCTCTCTCTTACAGTATCTTTCCTGTGCCTTTGAGTCGACACAAGAGTCATCTTTCCCGTGTTATCGATTTTGTCAGACTGAGCAAAAAACTAGTTAGCGTGCTCAGAAACCTTAGAATTACATGCATGTGCTCGCACTTACTGATCTCGCATCCAAATGATAGCGGCTGAGGTGACAGTACCTTGACAGTCCTGAGAGAGGGAGAGGTAAGGATAGGGAAGAGCAAAGGTGAGGGCAAGCCACGACATTTGGTCCATTCACGCTGCAACTACGATGGTCAAGCAGATTCTGGTGATACAAGAGTGCCATAGTATGTGGTGCAAGCACACCGGAACAAACCACATCACTGTGTGCATCACGCTCACTCACTTTTTCGTGACGGAATAGAAACCGCCCTTCTTCGCAGGACGTGCGATTGTGAAGGCCACCTTCTCCGTGCAGTTATTGTCAGAGTAAAACAACAACCTTCTGCACATGGTGTTGCCAGGCGCGTCAAATTGAGTCGAGATGGGCTTGGAGGCATTCCACACGACGGTGATGGCATCGCCTTCGCCCATCGATATCATCGAGCTGCATGCGATGGTGCCAATGGCCTGCTCTGGACGCTGAGGTAATATGAAGAAGACGTCCCTCTTGACATCGCCCTTTTGAAATATCATCGACGTCCGCACCAAGGGGGCTGACCGGCCGTTGACACCGTTGGCACCGTTGATGCGATGGTTGGTGCGATGACGTATGGTTGATTACGTCCGTTAAAGGTTGCGTGACGATGGTGGGGAATTGAAGGCGTCGAGTTGGAGGCAGGACAGGGGAGAGGAGAGGAAGGGGGCAGACAGGGGGGAAGGTGCGGGAAGAGTGAGGAGGGGTGATCGTTCCAAGCGTTGCCTCGCAGCGGCGCCTCTCGGTGTCTGTCGACATGCTGAGATGCTGAATTGCGAGGGTTTCAAGAAATGTAGTGTCTACAGGTCACCAGTGATGCACTCACCAACACACGTCATGTCATCGAGGAGCCAATAACCTTTCTTGTTGCAAACGCACCCGACGACAGAACCGTCAACGACGCAGGTCGCCTCTAATCCACACTCCACGCCGACACACATGTCTGCAGAGGAAGTGATGGGTGGTTGCGAGGTGAAGTGAAAGCGGGTTGAACGCGAAACTGTTTAACTGTTGCTGATGATTATGAACTTTGAACTCACCCACACACGCACAGTCGACCACACGCGCACAGTCGCCCACACGCGCACAGTTGCCCACACGCGCACAGTCGCCCACACGCGCACAGTCGCCCACACGCGCGCACTCACCTACACACGTCTTGCTGTCATTTTCAAATCTAAAGCCTTCCTTGCACACGCACTCGGCAACGGCAACGAAAGGATCTTTAGTGCAGGTAGCTTCGCCACAATCCATGTTGGCACACAGATCTGCACGGAAACCGTGATTGTTGCAAGTAGGGGCAGAGAGGCACACACACCAGCACAGAAGCAAGGTAGGGAAGGGAAGTTAAACAAGATAGATTCTGGTTATGATTGTGCACTCCCCCATATTCCAGCACTCAACCACACGCCAACACCACAAGTCTACTGCCAGTGGTGTGCGGCAGTCAGCCTAATCACCATCAGCAGCGCTGACGTGGGTCTAGAGGAAGGTGATGGCAACGAGACCAGCACAGCAGCACTCACCCGCCACACACGTCTTGTCCTGAGCCCATAGAAGACCGTCCTTGCACACGCATAGGGGCCCCGGCCAGTCTGTATCACCAACGCACGTGGCTTCCCCACAGTCCACGAAAGCACACGCCGGGTCTGCACAGAAATCGTGATTGTTTCAAGCAAGAGCAGAGAGGCACGCACACCAGCACAGAGACAAGGTAGGGAAAGAGGGTTAAAACGAGAAAACTTTTCTATGATTGTGCTGCTATGATTGTGCGTCGCTCAACCGCACTCCAGCACTCATACACACGCCAACACCACAAGCCTAGTGCCAGAGGTGTGTGGCAGTCAGCTTACTCACCATCAAAGGGTAGCAGCGGCGCTGGCGTGGGTCGCGAGGAAGCTGATGGCAACGACGAGTGCGGCGAGGCCACACAGGCCGGACAGGCGCGCGCAGGGCTTCATGTCGACAGGAGACGGGGCGGGGAAGCTGGAAGGCGGGAAGGCGCGGATCGTGATGACAGCGGAATGGCGAGAAGCTTTTGATCCGAGTTGCACCGCCGGGACTCACGCCGTTGGTAGTGGCGACGAGGGAATTGGGTGGGATCTTGAAGGTGCGGTGACTTTGGGAAGAGAGGAGACGAATGCCCGCAGTGAACGAGGAGCGGTGGGAGAATGTGATTGAGTCCTGTGAGGGCGTCGACTTATGTTGAGAGCGAGTGGTCACTCGCACATTCTGATTTATTGATTCGCGGATCCTAGTCGAACGTTTCGCCGCGAAAGGAGGACTCGAGTGGGAACCTTAGGACACCACGATGGTGTTGGGGCAGCGCGAAGTCGATCGGGTTGCAGATCGACTCCATGATGGAGTCGATGGTCACCAGGGGGGGGAACGCGAATGGATAGACGAGGGGACGGCGATGACGCGAGTAAAGCGTTGGGAAGGCGCCAGCTAGCGGCTAGTGAACGCGGGTTAGGCAGCCAATCCCAATGGAAGCGGCGGAATCTTTGTGGCGGGGCGCAAGAAAAAGAAGCTAGTTCTAGGCGCTCCTGTACACCAAAGGTTGGAAGAGCGCGGGACTTGCGGCGATTGATGATTTGTTGGAGGTACGCGTTGTTCAGGGCGTGTCACGCTTGGTGACCTTTTCATTCATTTAGACTGGTTGACTACGATGGTGTGCATTCCTCAGCGGTTGGCTTGCTTCATCGCCCTGAACCTCTATTTACCAAGGGTGTAAATTGAAGGCTCTGAAGGGGTCAAACATATTGTTTCGAGTTTCACCACTTGGGACCATTGCGCACCATAAATGAACCATTCATAACCAGCCCGCATTAAAAAAGTATGGGAAAATATGCCACACGTAACCAACATGGGACTCGATAACGTGAATGGTAAAATCGTAACGCGTACGGTCACTGTATCGGGATTCCTGGGGGGTTTGGTAAGTGGGGTCACGGATTCAGTCATTAACAACAGGTAAAAAATCACGCGAATGGTCACACATGTAACTCCCGCCAAAATTTCTTGAAACTCTAAAATTTTCCCGCTCGCGCGCAACCAATCAGCTAACTTCGTAAAATACTAAAACCCAATCGGAATTGGATGCAGTTTGGGGACGGATCAACCCTAAACACCTGGCGAATTGTGTTTAGGGTTGATTCATCCGAAAATACATCCAGGTTCCTTTTGGGTATTATCTTTTTTTTGGCGGGAGTTTCATCTGTGACCATTCGCGTTATTTTTTCCCAGTTGATAGTGACTGATTCCGTGAAACGCTTTATCAAACATGTGAAAACACCCTTTGCAGTGACCGTACCCGCTATTTTTTTACCAAACATATTATCGAGACCCTTTTTTATTACGAGTGGCATATTTTCCCAAAAAGTATGCCCCACCCTCAACACGTTTCGGGTGCTTCACCAATCAGCAATATTTGGGTACACTTGAGAATTCTACTCATTCATTCCATTACATGTTGTTACAAGCGGAATTGAGTGATCATTAAAATAATGATACCAGCATGTTTGCGAAGCCTGAGCAACCATTCATAGCGAGCTATAGTGAGCGTCACTTGCAAAATTATGCTTCTATGATCTGTAACACAGATTGCACGAATAAAGAATGACAAACAACGAAGTTGTGATCAGGGCCCTACGAAGTTGTCACTGATTGACTAACGATCAGGGCTTAGTTTTGGGCTTTTACTACCTACTCTGATCAGGGCCCTAGATATCAGAATTTGTAGTCCGATTCAGAGTCCGTTCAGACTTTTTTTGTGTATCTGAAGTCTAAGAAATTTCTTAATGTACTTTGTCTGATTTTCCAGAGATTTTTTTTTTTTTTTATGAGTTGTCTGAAATTTCAGCCTAATTTTATAAGTGTAGGCTGAGCCTCAGACTTGTATCGGGGGTGCACTCTGAAACCGGTAATACAGGAGTTTCCGCCAGCCTGGCGGCGTGTAGCACTTCGGAAAAAAAAAAACCGGTAGTCTAATTGGTCATTGTTCAAAGGGGCAGGAGGTCTGACCAGTCGGGGTCGGCGGGTCCGCAACAGGCAACGTGCTCGTGCATCGCCTTTGCTCATGTCGGCGGCGTTCTGGTGTTTTTTGTCAGAACATTGTGTTGTGTAGGCTGTAAAGGGGTAGCCTATATGGGGTACAACCCAGTTTAGGGTTACCGTAAGCCCCCGGATAGAAGCGCAGGCCTCGGATAAGCGCCGGCGCTTATAAAAGGATGAGGGCGCTTATATCCGGTCCTCGATTATAAGCGCACCCCTGAAGGCTTACGGATTATAAGCGCCACACTCTTTTTGTTTAATATAATTTGACTGAAATTCTTGTAACGAAACACAACATTTCCATTCCACGTTTTGAATTTCGATGACTTTCACCCTCGCTCGGCTCACTGCCAGCGCGTCCAGTCAGCTTGAGCTGTCAGGAGCGCACGCTGACTCATTCTGACTGTGTGTGTTGTGAAAATTGGAACGAGAATGATTGCATTGAGCAGCATGAGGGATACAAATATGAAACCCTAGAATGTTGTACCCCGTATGAGCTACCCCACTACAGCCTACACAGACTATAGTGTATAAGTTTGACACACCCCCATAGGCAAAGTGGGGGAGAACAAGGGGTCACAAGACCAGTCAAGCAAAGCAAGGCAAGGCAAGCTCAGGGTGGATCACAACGTCACCACACAGTCTGAGCACAAGTTCAAGGCCAGAAGGCCAGTTCACATGCAAGGGCACATATATATAACGCTAAACAAGCAAGGGCAGGTATATATATGTAACAGTACAAGCAAGGTCAAGAAGTAAGCAAGTGAGGCAAGGTAGGCACAAGACCTAACAGAGTGCAGAAGCGCTGATGATCACAAGGCGCGAGTGCCTTAGTGAAGATATCAGCAGTGTTGGCCTGAGAGGCCACGTAAGCAAGGCGCAGCTGACCACGCTGCTGCAGCTCACGAGCAAGAAAGTAGCGGAGAGCGATGTGCTTCGTTCTGTGCTCCAGTCTGTGCTCATGACACAAGGCCAGCATGGCCTTGTTGTCTACGTACAGCACTGGAGGAGAACGAGGCGGCTCTCCCAGGTCAGTCAGCAGGTAGGTGAGCCAGCGTAGCTCCTGTGCAGCCATGGCCCCTGCGTAGATCTCAGCCTCACAACTGGAGCCGAGAACAGAAGACGAGCGGGTAGACCGCCACGAAACAGAGCCGGAGCCAAGGCTGAAGGTGTAACCCTGTGACGACCGCTGCGTAGCCTGGTCGTCGGCCCAAGAAGCGTCTGCGTGACCAGTGAGGACCACTGGACTCTGCCCTCCAAGCACAAGCCCCATGCCCGACGTACTGCACAAGTAGCGCAACACCCTCTTCGCTGCAGCCATGTGCTCTGGTCTGTGTCTCCCAGGAGCAACAAAGCGTGCCAGAATGCTAAGAGGGTATGCAAGGTCAGGTCGAGTGCAGGTCATCAGGTACATGAGGCAGCCGACAAGCTCTGGGTACGGGCCACTCGACTCTACGGACTCATCCGAAGGCAGAGCTGAGAGCGAGTGGCGTGTAGGCAGAGGAGTGGCCTGAGGCGAGGAGTACGTGAAGCCGAAGCGCTGAAGGACCTGCTGCACCATGTGTGACTGAGTCAGGGTAATGGTGCGCTGTGCTCTGTCCCGGGTGATCTGCAAGCCAAGGTAGCTGCGCAGTTCACCCAGGTCTGTGCACGTGTGTCTCTTCTGCAGCTCGGACTTCACGTAGGCAAGTCCAGCAGTGTCAGCTGTAGCAAAGACCAAGTCGTCGACGTACACGAGGATGTAGAACGGCGGCAAAGAAGTGTCGGTGCGCAGAAACAGCGACGGGTCGGCAGTAGAAGGAGCAAACCCAAGAGCCGCAAGTGTAGTCCTCAGTGTGTCGTGCCACTCACGAGGCGCCTGGCGGAGACCGTAGACTGGCCACCGGAGGCTCCACTGGGTGCCAGGAGGAAAAGTCCCAGTGAAGCCAGGTGGGCGGCGCAGCCAGATCTCCTCGTGCAGGCTGCCCTGCAAGAAAGCAGTGCTGAAGTCAAGAGAGTGCAGCTCGTAGTCTCGGTGAGCGGCTATGTGCAGCAGTACCCGAAGAGTGGTCATCTTCGGGGTGGGAGAGAAGGTCTGAAAGTAGTCAACTCCCTGCCGCTGACTGAAGCCACGAGCCACGTAACGCGCCTTGAAGACAGGCGGAGAACCCGGCGGCCGCTTCACCCTGAAAATCCACATGCCACTGACAATGTTCGCCCCAGGCGGGGGAACCTCGTCAACGTAGGTGCCTGTGGACTTCCAGGAAGCCATCTCTGCGTCCATGGCTGCCTGCCACTGAGAGGAGTAGGGACCCTCTATCGCCTCCGCGTAAGAGCGCGGAGTCGGGATGTCAAGTGCATCCGGGTCTCCCTCAAGGGCAAGCAGCATGGACACGAGATGAGGTGAAGCAGCAGCCAAGCACTGGAACTCCTCCTGCCTGTCCTCAAGGACGTCCGTGCCAAGAGCACACTCACCCCCGACGGACGGAGGACAGACAGACTCAGACTCAGCGACGAGACTGGTAGCGTAGTCTAGGCGACAGCGAGCAGCGAAGTCGACAAGCTCAGCAACTAGGGCAGACGCAGCAGTAGACTCAAAGGAAGGGTCAGTGACGAC